CATTCAAATATAACTACAGAAGTGCCTGAAACCAAAGCCTTGTTAATTTCTAAAGGAGGTCAATTTGAACAAAATACATTTCAATATGGAAACAAAGTAAAGTAATTGCATGAAAATTATAGTTTAAACATCTACATTGTGGTGATTACAACAGGGTGAAGAATTAAGATGAAAAGAAGTAGCAAAGTTTGAAACAACTTAGCTAAACACAAAAGTAACTTTGTAGAGTAGTCTGGAATATTAACTTAAATTTTTGTTGGCTATTCAGCCTAGATGTGTACAGGGCCCGCCATCTGCTGGCAAGGTTTGGTACTGCTAATTTGGAAAGCACTCAAAGGAGGTGCCAGCGGATCATTTACTCGTTTTTTTTTGTTTTTGTTTTTTTTTGAGACGGAGTTTCGCTCTCGTTACCCAGGCTGGAGTGCAATGGCGCGATCTTGGCTCACCGCAGCCTCTGCCTCCTGGGTTCAGGCAATTCTCCTGCCTCAGCCTCCTGAGTAGCTGGGACTACAGGCACGTGCCACCATGCCCAGCTGATTTTTTGTATTTTTAGTAGAGACAGGGTTTCACCATGTTGACCAGGATGGTCTCGATTTCTTGACCTTGTGATCCACCCGCCTCAGCCTCCCAAAGTGCTGGGATTACAGGCGTGAGCCACCGCGCCCGGCCCTCATTTACTCTTTTTTATAGCAACACTGCTCAATATTAAATACTAATACATTAGTCAGGTCTCAACAGATTCAACAAATATTATGTCTTGGATCTCTGAATTGTGTATTTCCTATTTTGTAAGAGAGAATACCTAACTTTTGGCAGAAAGGGATTCTGGACTAGTAAAGCCCTTCCAGCCACTAACAACCTTCTTCCTCCTCCAGTTATATAAATGGAATTCTATAATATGATTCTTTTGCATTTGGTTTCTTTCACTAAACATTGTTTGTGAGAGTCATTCATGCTGTTAAGCATAGAAGTAGTTGTAATCATTTTATTTATATTAACAGATCACATTTTTTTTCTGTTTTACTTTTGGGGAACATTTAGGCTGTTTCCAACTCCTGGCTCTTACAAATAATGTAGCTTTGAACGTTCTTGGCTGTGTCTTTTGGTGAAAATATGCATGCATTTCTGTTGGGCATATAATTTAGTAGTGATACTGCTGGGTCAAAGGGTAAGCAAATGTTCAAATTTAGGAGATAATGCCAAATAGTTTTCTAAAGTAGTTAACCAAATATATTTGAAACAATGGTATATGAAAGAGCATATCAGAATACTACATCCTTGCAAATATTTGGTATTATTAGTCTTAAAAAATCTTTTAACCATTCTAGTGGGAATGTAATAGTATCTTATGATTTTATTTATTTATTTAAAGAGACAGAGTCTTGCTCTGTCATCCAGGCTGGAGTGCATTGGTGTCATCATAGCTCACTGCAAACTCAAATTCCTGGGCTCAAGTGATCCTCCCACCTCAGTCTCCTGAGTAGCTAGGACTATAGATGAGCGCCACCACGCTTGGATTATTTTATTTTATTTTATTTTTTTTTTTTTGAGAGGGAGTCTTATTCCATCACCCAGGCTGGAGTGCAGTGGTGTGATCTCGGCTCACTGCAACCTCTGCCTTCTGAGTTCAAGTGATTCCCCTGCCTCAGCCTCCCGAGTAGCTGGGACTACAGGTGCATGCCACCATGCTAGGCTATTTTTTTGTATTTTAGTAGAGATGGGGTTACACCATGTTAGCCAGGATGGTCTTGAACTCCTGACCTCATGATCCACCTGCCTCAGCCTCCCAAAGTGCTGGGATTACAGGTGTGAGCAACCATGCCTAGCCAGCACTTGATAATTTTTAAAATATTTTTGTAGAGATGGGGGTCTCCCCATCTTGCCCAGGCTGGCCTTGAACTCCTGGGCTCAAGATCCCCTTGACCTCAGCCTCTCAAAGTGCTGGGATTACAGGTATGAGCCACCACACCCAGCCATATCTTATAATTCTAGTTTTCATTTTCTGATGACTGATAAGGTGGAACACCTTTTGATACATTTATTTGCTATGTGGGTGTTCTTTTTTTGGGAAAAGTTTGCTGCCCATTTTTCTATCTAATTATATGTGTTTGTTTTACTGATATACAGGGGTTCTTTATAGATTTCAGATACAAGCCCTTTGTCAGTTTTATGTATAACAAATATTGTCTGTAGTATAAGATACATGGCGATTTAAATACAGGACAACATGGCACCAAGCAGAGAGGATAAAGAATGCTGGCATGCTCAAAAGTCCTTGCATTGTTCAGGAAGTGGTTAAATGATTAATTTACAATTAGATTCCAGTAAGTCAGGGATATATGTGACAAACTCCATAGTAACTTCTAGAATAATAGAAAATAAATAATAAAAAGAAAATAACGAGGCCAGGCATGGTGGCTCATGCCTGTAATCCCAGCATTTTGGGAGGCCAAGGTGGGTGGACTGCTTGAGCCCAAAAGTTCAAGACCAGGCTGGGCAACATAGTGAAACCTCATCTCTACAAAAAATACAAAAAGTTAACTGGGTGTGGTGGTGCAGACCTGTAGTCTAAGCTACTCAGGAGGCTGAGATGAGAGGATTGCTTGAGCCCAGGGAGGCTGAAGTTGCTGTGAGCCATGATCCCACCACGGCACTCCAGTTTGGGCAACAGAGCTAGATTCTATATACAAAAAAGAAAAGAAGAAAGAAAAGAAAAGAAAAAGCAAGAGAAAAGAATGTACAACTTGCAAATTAATTGGTATAAAATGAAATGATAAAAATATTTGATAAATCTAAAAGAAAGCAAGTAAGGAAAAAGAAAAGGCCATAAAATTGGTAGGACAAAAGGAAGCTTAAACCCAAATTAGTATTTTTTAAAAGATACTATAGGAAAATATATACCAAAAGAGAGCTATGACATAGTATCAGACAGAATAAATGCAGGGAACAAAAAAGAACAAGGTCAACTAACCAATAAAGTGATAGGTTAAGAAGATACGCTGCTGTTAAACTCTCCTCCTCCTACCACAACAAAATAGCTTCAGGATCTATATAACAATGCCATACAATTAAAAATCAGGAACATCAAGACATCTTGAAAACTTGCATATCTGCAAACCAAAACACACATCATTTGAATAATCCTTGGACTAAAGAGTAATTTATAAACTAAGTTATGAAATACCAAGAAGTTATGACAGTGATAATGCCTCATGATAAAACACATGTAGAGTTAAAGTAGGTCTTGGAGGGAAATTTTAGAGAATATTTTTGATATTTAGCTGAAAAAGACTTTCTAAAGATTCCCAAAGCATAAATCATAAGGTGAAAATGAATGAATTTGAGTGAAGCAAAATTAATAATTTCTAAGCCACGAAGAACACCACAGACAAAATTAATAAGTGGGCAATAGATGTAAGAAAATATTTATAATATCATTAATATTTATAATATACAAGAAAATCCTGATTATCAATAGGAAAGGTACAAGAAACTCTAAAAGAAAAATGAGAAGGAATACTAACAGACTATTTATAGAAGGGAAATATGAAAAGTATTCAAACTCACTAACAGGAGAAATGTAAATAGAACTTAAATAATTAGATAGCATGTTACATGCACCAGGTTGACAGCTTGTTTGTACTCAGTACCACCCCTGGGATATAAAACTCAGAAAAAGTGTCTTTTAGCCACCTAAGTGAAGCTGCATAAGGATGGTCATGGTAGCACTCCTGTGGCAGCAGAGAGCTGTGGACAAGCTGAATGTCTATTGTTAGGAAGATGGACAAACAAAATGCAACAAATGTATTCTATGGAGCATTATACAGGAACCACAACCGAAACATGTGGAGTGAAAAAAAATAAGGTGTGGAATGATATATATGCTACAAATTTATACAAATTTTGAAGACATAAATACATAAAACAATATTGTTATTCAGCAATACATACTCAAAAACATAAGTCATCATCAAAGTACATATATATATGATGTGTGTGTAGGGGAATGAGAGAAAAGATCAGAAATGAAGGAAAAAAATTAATTTAAAAAACCATACCAAAGGACTTGCATAGACGGATGACATCTGCACTTGCAGTTCAAAAACACCAGAGTAAAACAAATTAATGAGGAAGAATTGTGATCACAGAAGAAATGTCTTTAACAGCATGAGTCAAAGCTGGTTCTTCCCACTTTACATTCACATGGAAGCATTAGGTGTGTTCTCTTGGGGCCCTTTCCTAGCACCTTGCTTAAAATGATTCCGTGGGTTCTGAGTTATCCTGGGAATTAACCTACACATGCAATCTAGTTAGGAAGGTAAACTGAATTCTCCTGGCTTTGGGTAAGGACAGCCATGTAGGTCAACTGGGATTCTCTGCCTCTTCTAGCACAGACCTTTCTCCACCTTCTCCTCTGCATAGGTCCATCTTTCCAAAGAGCATGGGCAAACTCTGTCATCCCAGTACTCTGAGGAATTGGCTTAGGTTGACCTTTGGAGAGGGATAAAAGTACTAACTACGTATGACCTTCTTTTCATATCTCTTCCAGCTGAGTTTATTTGGTGAATATGGAGTAAGGTAAGGAACAAAATCAATACTTTCATTATCATGGATTCAGATATATTTAAGATCTTTCTCCATTGAGGCTTTCATCATGAAATCAACCTGTTGAAGCATTTTAGACTGCAGCAGGGCAGGAAATAAAAGGAAGGGAGGGAGGAAGAGATGGGTGTAGGTGCTAGGGGTGAAGAGGGAGAGCATGTAAAGAGAAAGTCAAGAGAATAATGATCAGAACTCTGGAACCCAGGGTGGATATGAGGGCACTCCACAGCCAAATGAAAAGTGCCACTGATCCATGCCTTGTTTGGGGCTGCTCTGACATGATTGTGTTCCTCTTTTACTTTTAGACAATGGCCACAGCCTTATGGAGAAGCTCCCCCTACCTGAGACAGATTCCACTGGCAAAGAGCCTCCAGCCATCACCTAAACTTGAAACTTACTGTGCAAATGATAATCTGATCCGTGCTTCAATTTCTATCCATTCTTCCTTTATAATCCTTCCACATTGTAGCAGCTCCTTTGAAAGTCTCTTTGCTTTTGTTAGATTCTCTGAAGCTTCCTTAAAACTAAATTGTGTTCAGGAAATTTTCCACTTGGTTCTAGATTCTATAACCCATGTCCTGAACTTCCTTGGCTCCCATACTTTCTCTGTATCATTCCAATTTTAGTATATGTGCTGCCGAAGTGAGCACGGCTCCCATACTTTCAATCACACTTCCTAAGGCATCCATCAGCATTAGCTTTTTACTTGGCATATAAGTATTATACGAATAGAATTTCTATTTGTAAAGGTTAGAGGCAAAAGGATACTTTTGAAGGGACAGTAAGGCTCTCCCCATGGTATGGAAAAGCTCAACAGAAAACTTGAACACATCTGTGCTGTCGTTATAGGGAGGCACAATGGAGTTGGCAAGGATTTGTTTGGCTTTTTCTGCATGTTGTTTCGCTTGCAGTGACAGTCCTGTGGACAAAGAAAAAGAAGTCTCAGTTTCTCTTTAATCTCAACTGGACAGGAATATAATTCCCCTGTGGTCTGGGAATCTAACAAGGTCTCCTTCACATATTCTCAAATGGCACATGGAGATGTATCTGAGCAGTATGAAACACTGTTATGACTGTACCAACCCAAGAAGTGTTTTATACCAAGTACTGAAGATAAATTTTCCCCAAAATGGCTTTTTAAAAAAATTTTTTAATTTTAATTTTTTTTTTTTAAGAAATAAACAGAATGAGCTGGAATGGAACAGCTTTGAAATATCACCAATATCAGAAGTAAAATATGTTACATATAAATATAATAAACAAATTGAATACAAGAACGATAGCACTCTGGGCAGGAAATAAAATATTCATGAATTTTAATTCTGGCTGTGTAACTGTAATCTTAATGAAATACTAAAAATTATGAATCTTCAACTTACCCACCTGTAATCATAACATCAGTTATTTTAACATCATACATATCTTATTATAAAAACTTATAAACACAATTCCAATGAGGTAACAGACTAATGTGTGACAATCTCGTATTCCTATGTGGTAACAGACGAGTATGAGACAAAATGGAGCAAAAAAAAATTACTACGAAGAACGAATTCCCCAGTGTGTTCCCATGCTCCTCCATGGGCTTGCTAATCTGTGGGAAGGGAGGCCTGAGATCACCAGCAAGTCTTCTGGACTTTGCACTTCCCTGTATTCCCAGCCTCCTCCCCTACACTAACACCCCTTCCACTCACATCCACATAGCCCCAGTCTTATATTCTTAATTACACAAAATTGTATCTCAGATCTTTAAAAAAAACCTGTCAAAATATGAAGTTAATTCTGTTCCTATGTCTATAAAACAGGAAGAAGATATTTTCTAATGGAGAAAATCAAGGGTATGCTTTTCATGTGGGAATTCTTACACAATGTTGTCTTATTATACATCTTTAAAAAGTACAGATATGTATTAGTGCCACCTGTGATTGTGATGTTACACAAAGCATGGTGAACTGTATTTTCAATTGTGTAGAGTCCCTGAAGGAACCTGAACTCAATTTAATGGAGGCAGCATAGGGCGAAGTTCAAGAATATTGGCTCTGAAGTCAGATTGCCCAGAATGGATCCCCTGCTCCACCACTTATTATGAAACATTGGCCTCAGCTTTCTCGGCTGTAAACAGAGATATTAAAAATACCCACCTCTGAGGACTGTGGTGAGGACTGAATAAGGTTGTGCATGGAAAATAACATGATGCCTGGCGCCCAATGAGACTTTAATAAATGGTAGATACTACTTTTACTTTAAATTGAGAAAGAAGAACCGTCACACAGACAGGCAGCAGGCTGTATAAGAAAAGCATCATCTGAAACCCCAGATGGCAGGACAAACTGGCATTGAAATCCTAGGTCTGAGTCTCAGATCAGCTACTTATTAACAGTGCTTTCTAACTCAGACTCATTGTTTTCCCTGGATCTACAAAATGGGGTGGGAGGGCAGAGTTTAAATTAGATAATCTCCAAGGTCCCTAAGAGTCTTTAATCTAATAGGTGGGACCAGTCTATAATCAGATTTGGCCAAATTCATTGGGTGGAAATAATGAATATGCCTGGTATAGACTATGCTTGGCATTGTGGTGTTTTCCATTTCTATTATTTTCTTTATTCACTGGGCCACGCCTGGAAAGTTAGCATCACCATCACCATCATCATCACTTTTCAACTGAAGAAGCTGAGCACAGAGATGCTCCTGTCCATCTTAGTCTGCACAGTCAGTAAGTAGAAGCCATCATCATATCCTGGGTGTCTATTGTTTTTGCCTTCCCCTCAGCCATTCTCCCATTTCCCTTTTGGATGCCTGGCTCCTGCACATCCAATCCATGTAATTTGGTGAACGCCTGCTTCTCCTTCAAGATCCAATGAAGCCAAAAGGAAGGTTTAGCCAATCAGGCTATTCCTTGCCTTTGGTATACAATCCAGGTTGTTTCAATTAGAACCCATCCCAAATCCTGGATTTTGGTGGAGGGACATTCTTTTACTCCTTGGAATGCTTATAATGGAAGCATAAAGTTGCTGGCAGCCTTGCTGCCACCATGTGGGCAAAGCCTGGCTAAGAATGGAGCAAATACCAACAAAAATAGAGCCAAGCACTGGAAGAGAAACAAACTGAATCCTGGTCACACTGTTTCAACCCTGGATATGGCTAAGTCTAAAGCAAGTTTTCCCCTTGAATTTTTAAGTTGTATGAGCCAAAAACTTTTGTTTATGGCAATTTGGGTTAGTCTTTTTAAACTTTTTGGTTATTTACAGTCAAGAGACTCTCCAGTAAAAGTGTAAGTGAATCCCATTCTGGGCCCCTATTCCATATCTTGGGTTTTTTTCCTACAAAGCCTTCTGGCCCAGCAGATTAATCTTCTCCTAAGAACCCTACTTTTGAAATAATTTAAAAAAAAAACAGAAAAAATATAATATTTTTTTCCCTTTGAATGTTTACATGTTATATACCTTATCAACTCTTTCTGAAAGGAAATGGCTTCTCAGTATTTGGAAAGGAGAATATTTAAAAACCCAATCCTTCTAATTATGTGTGGATCAAATTTTGGGGAGAAGAGCAGAAATCGACCAATTGATCCCCCTCAGTCTAAGGTGAGCTTACCTTTCAGCTGGAGGTAGCCTTGAGCCAGATTTACATGTGCCTCTGCTAGTTTCCAGTGTGAGTCTCCATAGCAAATTCTTGTCAGCGCTACGCAACGCACAAGCTCGTGGACAGCCTGTTTGTACTGTCAGGAAGAGAAAACAGGCTTACCAGTTATACAACTTGAAACTAAGAGTCACAAAGCACAAAATAAACATGCTTTTATCCCTTTGATAAATACGAGTGCCTACTATGTACAAAACATTGATCTAAGCACTTGAGATGTATCAGAGAAGAAAACAAAGATCTATTTGGGGTGGTAAAGTGTACATCTGGTAAGATGAAATAGACAATAAATGCAAGTGCAATTTGTAGTACATTTAAAGGTGAAAAAAAGTAATAGAATTTTAAAAATAGAAAATGTAGAGCAGACATCTAGTCATTCTTTAGGTTTCCCAGTTGCCCACCAATGAGCAGCTACTACATAAGCAGGAACAACAGGCGCAAATGGTAGTGTTTTCAAATACTATACTTTTATTGTCTGTGTGTGAGACAGGGTCTCACTCTGTTACCCAGGCTGGAGTACAGTGGCACAATATCAGCTAACTGCAGCCTCGACCTCTGGGGTGGGCTTGAGTGATCCTCCCACCTCAGCTTCCTGTGCAGCTGGGATCACAAATGTGCACCACCACAGCAGGCTAAATTTTTGTATTTTGGTAGAATTGGGGTTTCGCCATGTTGCTCAGGCTGTCAAATACTATACTTAAGCTCTCAATTCAAAACTTTTCTTAGCTGTCTATATTAGCATAGCAAATGAGATCAGCAGGACTCACAGACTTGATTAAAGCAGCAAGAAGCACATTTTTCATTCAGGCTAGAACAAAGAGAACAGAAAACTGGATTCCCAGCTTCAGGTCATCTCAGATCAGCCATATCTTCAAAGCAAAGCTCGTAGTTTTAAAACACAGCTCCAAAATTCTTTGATACCCCTTCCATCCAGATATTGGGGGTCCTATGTCCCATTCCCTTTGAATCTGGGCTTTATGACTATTTGGCCAATAGAACCTGGAAGAAATGATGTAGTGCCAGTTTTCAGGCCCAAGTCTTAAGGACCTGGTGCCTTTGCTTTTGTCTCTTCTTGGATATTTACTCTTGAAACCTGTTATGGGCTAAATTGTGTCCCCTCCCCAACCTCATATATTGAAGTCCCAACCCCCAGTACCTTATAATGTAACTGTTTTTGGAGATGAGGTCTTTAAAGAGGTGATTTAAGTTCAAAGGAGGGGTTAGGGTAAACCCTAGCCCAATACAGCTGGTATCCTCATATATGAAAAGGAAAAGACACCAGGGATGGGCATGCACATGGAGAAATGATCATGTGAGAATACAGCAAGAGACAGTCAGCTACAAACTAAAGAGAAAGGCTTTAGAATGAAATCAAGCTCTGCTCACACCTTGATCTTGGACTTCTAGCCTCCAGAACTGTGAGGAAATAAAAACTGTTCTTTAAGCCTCGGCATCTGTGGGCTTTTGTTACGACAGCACTACAAACTAATACAGAAGCCCCATGCTGGGAGGAAGCCAACATGGCCCCATGGAGAGAAGACCCACATAGAAAGGCACTGATAGTTTGAGTGAACCATTTTGGTGGCAGAATCTCCAGACCCTTCAAGAGCAGCTGATGCTGTATGGAGCAAAGCTGAGCAAACCCCACTGAGCTCTGCAAAAACTGCAGGCTCATGAGAAAAATGAATGGCTGTTCTTGTTTTAAGCCAGTAGGTTGTTGGGGTATTATGCAGCAACAGATAGTAAGAACAGCAAGAGAGATGGCTGTAGAAAGAAAGCTGAAGGGGTCAAACCAGAGGAAGAAGGGTGAGAACAAGGACAGAGTTGTGGAGAAGATGCAGGATGCCTCCAGGATGCACCCCCATCAATGTCAAAGCTCAAAGGGCTTGCATTTCCACACAATTCCTACATGCATTAGAAATATCTTCACCCTAAAACAACATTTTTCTTAACAAAATACACAGCCAGACAGCTGGCCACAGGAAAGTCACTTTTGTGACCTACCAGGAGGAAGCTGAGGAATATGTGCTCATCATAAAGTGCTGAAAGAAGGTGGACTGTGGCCTTTCTTTTCTAGAGTAACATGCTTCCTATTACAAAGATAATGTATGTTCATTGTCAAAATACAGATGAGCAAAAAGATAAAAACTAAAAATCACCTGTAAGTTTATTCCCTAGAGATATCTAGGTAGCTAAATATTCCTTTATTCTTTACTTTTATGAATCTATCTATACATATTTTTTCTTTTTCAAAAATAGGTTCATAAGCTACATGCAGGTTTACAGCCTGCTGTTTAAACAATTTATGAATAACTTCTCATGTCATCTGTAAGTTTGAATGGCTGCACAGTATTTTATTATATGAATATATCATAACTGCATTACTCAATCCACTCTTTATTGGGCATTTAGGTGTTCATAAATTTTTTACTCACTGAATATCCTGTATGGATAGCTTTGCACATACTCATAAATATCTCCACAAAATAAATTCCTACAAACAGGATTGTTGGGTAAAGGATATGCAAAATTCTGAGGCTATGAGTAGCTACTGCTGAAGTACCTCTCCAAGAGGTTGTACCAGTTCATACTTTCAGTGCAGCATACGTGAGCAGAAACGTCCCTTACACTGAACTGAGTACAAACTGTGGAGTATTTGTTTTGTTTTTAGTTTGTCAGTTAGCCCGTTTTTCCTGGATTTAGTCCACATTTTCCCCATAAGTTGATGAGGCTGAACATCTTCACGTGTTAACTGGCTGTTTGTACTTTTTTTGGGTCACCTTTTATTGCCTCTAGACACAGGAGGTTTAGGTAATGACTTCTTTGGAGAGAGAAAGAGAACAACAACTATAGTGTATGAAAGAGAAGGAAATGATGACAATGTCATGGAATCCAGACAGACAAAACGAGAGGGAGATCTGTTTTGATAATGAATCTGTCCCAACTACAGATTTCCAGCAAAGGGGACTGCACAGGCTGAGCTGGGGTTCCCTGATCATAGCCTCGGTTTTCAGGACCTGAGTAGGGATACAGGTATAGAAAAAACAGCTTGTCCTCCCTTCACTTTCTTATTTGTTATAGGAATGGTCCAGATATCCCTATTGGTTTTCCAACCTTTATTCTACCAGTTCCAGTGGCTTTGGCAATAGGCATCAGTAAGCGGCAGGGCAGACAGAAGACAAGTACGAAGTAGGAAGACAATTTCAAAACTGGGATGAGTCTTGGAAATAATCTAATCTAGTCCCCTCAATTTGAAAATGAAGGTGAAGGAATATAAGGCTGGGAAGTTCAGGTGATTTACCAGTAAGTGGTAGCGTCAGAATTCACAGTCAAGCTCCTTGATGCAAAGTCCAGAGGTCTTTTCACAACATCATTCTTGGAATATCTGAAGTTTTCTAAACTTCTTAATATTAAAATATGCAATGCTGATTATCAGTAGGTCTAGCTCATATATATTTAAAAATGGACATTTAATACCCAGATCTTGGTGTCTAAATGCTATTCTCCACTAAGCGGAACCAAGGTTCCCTGCTGCAGGGGAAGTCCAAGATGAATCTGAGAAACCTGTGCTGCCAGAAATCAAGGAAGTGATTAAACAATGAGGGGATGGATCGAGGACTCAGGAGCCAGCTTGATGGGCCTCCCATTGGCAGATATGGAACAATCTGAGCTTCCATGAAAATAACAGGCTGTAGCATATTTGAAAAATAAAATTTCCTAAACTCATACTGATAAGAATAATTGGATAATAAATAAGCTGTGAAGAAAGAAAAGCTCCTCCTTATCATAGAATGCCAACAAACGTTGAAGGGATGTGGAAGTCAGAGACTGGCTATGTGACAAATGTCACAGTAATAACTGATTCAGGTGAAAATCATCAGCGAATACTAAAACTGGCAGAGTGAAGTTTTAAATATATACATAGTCTCAGTGAATCTCCCCACAAAATACTTAATAATTACAAAGGGAAAAATAGCAATTCTTCATTAAAGAAACCTGCCAGTCAGCACCTTAACCAAGTATTCAAGGTTGGCATCACTGTAATGAGACTAATAGACATTATGCACCTCTTGACAGCACACACTAAGAAGGGCCCCATGTCACACCTGTGGCATTCCTGCTCCAAATGTACAAACTGAATAAAATCATGAGGAAGCATAAGACAAACTCAAATGGAGAGATATTCTACAAAATAATTAGAGTGTACATTTCCAAGATATTAAGATCACGAAAAAGAGTAGGTTAAGCAACTGTTTCACATTAAAGGAGACTAAAGAGACATGACAACTCTATTTAACATGAATTCACAGACTGAGCCACAGATCTGATTTTTTTTTCTGTAAAGGACATTATTAAGAAGAAATATGGACAAGGTTTACATATTAGATAATAGTATTATACTGACATAAATTTCCTAATTACGATCACTGTACTGTGGCTATGTAAGGGAATAGCTTTTACGGAATAAACACTGAAGTACTTGGAAGGGCCATAATATCTACAACTTACTCTCAGTTCAGAAAAACAATGAGAGACAAAGAACAAAGCAATAAAGCAAATGTTAAAAATGAGTGAATCTTGTGACTTTTCTGTAAGTCAGAAATTATTTTAAAACACAAAATAACCAAAAAACTGGTATTTTTAAAAGTAAATTACATCTTGTTAATACCTTGCTGAAATACTTTTAAGGCCTTTCAGGGCACTTAGCTTGAAACCTGCAAGGCCCTAAGTGAACTGACAGCCTCTCTCACCATATTTAATGGCAGCTTGTAGCTGCTTCTCCTTGCTTAAAATATGGCCTGCTTGTGCTTACCTTGTAGATTTATGTGTGCTGTTTCCTCTCCCTAGAACTTTTCACCTCAGCTCCTCCATACTGACTCCTTCTCTTCCTCAGGTCTCAGCTTATCTGTCACATCTTCCTGGAGGCCCTCCCTGATCACCCTACCCAAGACAGAGCCAGCCTATGTCCTCCTTAGCACTTGTCACAGTCTATGATCACCTGGTTCATTTACAATGTCAATTGCCTCTCAGCTCCATGAGGGTATGCACTTTGTCTGTCCTGTTCACTGTTGTATCCTGGATTCTCCACCAGAACCACAGAACAATGAAATGTTTAATACCATTCTAGATGCACAGAAAAGAATTATTTAAATATGTCAGATGCCTTTCGGCATGAAGGCTTACTTCTTTCCAGAAGTCTGGTTGAGAAAGGCTGCCAGCCTAGAGCCTACAAATAGTAGGTACTGAGTGAGTACCTGTGCATAATGAACCAGCACACCCTCAAAACCAAATTTATGCCCTTTCTCCCTAATCCTGGTCTTTATCCTATATTCATTATTCTGATGAAAGTCATGGGCAAGCCTCCAATCACCCAAGCAGACTAAGACCTTGGGTGGTGGGAATTCTACACACCCTAGCTTTCTCACTCTCACATCTCCATTCTCTATGTCCCCTTGTCCTGTCCCACTGATTAGCATTTCTAAATTCCTTTCAAAAGAGCTCAGCATTCCTACTGCCTCTGCCACATGTAGTTTAGGTCCTCATGATTCCTTGCCAGGATTATTGCAAATACCCTCCTAACTGATCCTCCTCTTCCGGTTTTATTCTTTTTTTGTCCTTACTCTTCATAGCTATGGGAATGATTGTTCTTAAAATCAAACCTGCTCATGTCATGCTTCTGCTTGTAATCTCATGGTAATCCTCCATCATCTTTAGGAGAAAATAAAAACTCTTTCACTAGGCCTTGAGTGCTCTCTGGGTCTCAGTTCCTGTTCATAATCCAGCCTCATTTCTCACCCTGTGTCATTTACACCTTAGTCCCAGACAGCTCTTAGTTCCCCAGACTGTACTCCCTCAGACCCATGGCTTTTGTCCATCTGCTACCTCTGCCCAGAACATTTTGGTCCTCTTCCTAAGTACTGTTTACCAGTACAGTCCAAGTAACTCCCATCCCAGCAAAGTGTGCCTTAACTGCTGTCCCTCTACCACCTCCAGGCTCATTGCCCCTCCTTTCTGTTTTGTATCTGTGTCACTTGAGCTCTCACAGAACCTATCAAACTGACTGCCATTATCTGTAGCCCTATCTTCCCAACCAAATCCCGAGCCCCTCCAAGACAAGTAGCTCTTCCTTCTGTACCCCTGGCATCTACATGGCACCTGACACATATTAGGCATAGCATGGGTATTTATGATGAATGGATGAACAGGATCCAACACATAAGAGGTGATAGAGAAATGCCTATTGAATGAGTGAGTGAATGAGTAAAACTCTTGAAGAAAAAAGTATGCAGAGAACAAGAAGATTTACGATCATAAGGAATTAGAAGCTCTATGAGAGCAGCGGCCTCACCTGCTTTGTTTGTGTTGTATTCCAGTGCCTAGACTTGGCACACAGTGGGAGCTCAATAAATATTTGTTGTTGGCCATGTCAGCTGCTGTGCCTGGAGCCTAGGGTACTACATTCATTCATCTTATAACAAAGGCACTGTCTTATATACTCTCTTGTATCAAACTCCTGAGATTAGGAATATAATCTGAAACATCCTACTTCTCTTGATTATACCTTATAGCTCAATTCCCAGAGAAGAAATACAGAAACAAAAGTCTCCTTACTTCATGACTGCTGGAATAGGACTTTGCTTTCTCTTCACAGAGGTGGAGTTTCTCTCGAGGAGGCTGGAATAGTGCTGCCTGAGGCAGCTTGCTTTGGAACTTCTCTCTATGAGTGACGCTAACAGCAGCAACAACTTCATCTAGGTGGTTGGATATGTGGGTTTCCTGTGATTCTTGCATATTTTTATGTACATTGTCTTCTCATTTTAAAATAAAAACAAAGGCGTTAAATGACAATTTCCATAGTTATTTTTAGAAATATACATTTCAACACTATAACCACAATTTCTTTGAAATTAGTAGTATTATATCCCAAAAGATTATGGTAGCTACTACTGACCTGCTGATTTTTATTTTCAACTAAATTAAACCTTCTTTCTTTACATATATACAACGATATACACATACATACAAATACACACATACACATGTACATATATACACAAACATACATACATATGTATATACATACAAACACATACATATGTGTATATGTGTATATGTTGTATTATACACATACATATGTATATACAGTCCAGTAGAAATTAGTTTAGCACATACATATATACCTGGGTGTAAGAAGATATTTAAATCTGGAGAAAGACTCCTTCAATAAGGTTACAGGGAACAGTGTTTTCTGCTCACATAAGGCTGGCGGTGCCTGTTTCCACCAATGAGGCTGAAAAAACTCCTAATTCATGAAGCATTGGATAGAGTACTCAGAAGCCTTTTATCTCAGTAGTGCTGATAATTAGCTGTAGACTGAACACTGCTCAGATCACGAAACAAATCATAAAAAGTAAGATCTAAAAGGATCAAACTGTTTCCAAGTGACTTAATTGCACCAAAGGACAATACTCAAGGATGTTCACAGGAATACTAAAATAACCAACACCCAGCAAGGTAAAATTTACAAAGTCTAGCATCCAAAGAAGCTGGAAAACATAGCCCATAATGAGAATAATCAAGAGATCAAAACTGACCCAGAATTGAGACACATGTTAAATTAGCAGAAAAAAACATTAAAACTGTTTTAATAATTGCATTCTATATGTTTAAAAAGTAGTTAAATAAAGACATGGAAGAAATAAAAAAGACCCAAATGGAACTTCTACATAGAAAAATTATTTGTGAAGATGGAAATGTGTGGGATTAACAGCAGATTAGATGTTGCAGATGAAAAAATGAATTTGTAGGCTTAGCAATAAAAATTATCAAAAATGAAAAAAAATCAGTGAGTTGTAAAACAACTTCAAGTTGCTTAATATATATGTCATTTGAGTCCCTAAAGGAAAGATTGGAGGAGGGACAGAAAACTATTTGAAGAAATAATGGCAAATATTTTTCCTAATTTAAGAAAAAACATAAAGCCAGAGATCCAAGAAGTTCAATGAACATTAAACACAAGAAACAAGAAGAAAGCTACATCAAATAAAGTCAAAACATCATAGCCAAATTGCTTAAAACTATGATAAAGTGAAAATCTCAAAAGGAGAGAAAAAAGACACATTGCATATAAGAAATAAAGATAAGGATAACAGATTTCTTAGAAGAATAAAAAGCACACAAGGACAGTTAAAGCTATTGATTATCTTTAAAGTATGGAAAGAAAAAAGTTGTCAATCTTAAATTCTGTACCAGCGAAAATATCTTTCAAAAACAAAATTTTTAATAATTAATTACCAGAAGACTTGCACTACAATGTTCTCAAAGAAATGTAAAAGAAAGTCTTTCAGAAGGAAGGAAACTGATAGCAAATGGAACTCTAGGTCTATAAAAAAGAAGATGTCGGAAATGGTAACAACATGGGTAAATATGTAACACTGCGTTCATATTACAATCATGTTCAGCTTTGTGGCATTTCGGTCAATGACAGAATGCCTTTATAAAGGTAGTCCCATAAAATTATTATAATGGAGCTGAAGAATTCCTATTGCATAGTGATACAATAGCTGTCGTAACATCATGGCATGATGTATTTATTCATGTGCTTGTGGTGATGTGGGTATAAACAAACGTATTGTGCTGGTAGCCATACAAAAGTAAAGCATATATAATTATGTACAGTACATACTATGTGATAATAATATTTAATAAGTGACTGTTAGTTTATGTATTTAATATACTACATTTTATCATTATTTTAGAGCATTCTTCTTCTACTTATATATTTCTAAAAGTTAACTCTGAAAAACCCTTAGGCAGGTCCTTCAAGAGGTATTCCAAAAGAAGGTATTCCATTATCATCATAGGTGATGAAAGCTCCATGCATGTTATTGCCCCTGAAGACCCTCCAGTGGGACAAGATGTGGAGGTAAAAGACAGTGATACTGATGATCCTGACTGTGTCGAACTACATTAATGTGTGTGTCTGTGTCTTAGTTTTAACAAAAATGTTTAAAAAGTAAAAGAAGAAAATAAAAATTTTAAAAATAGGAAAAAGGTTATGGAGTAAGGATAGAAAGAAAAAACTTTGTACAGCTGTACAATGTATTTGTGTTTTAAGCTAAGTGTTATGACAAGAGTCAAAATGAAAAAAAAAAATTTAGGCCAGGCATAGTAGTTCATGTCTGTTATCTCAGCACTTTGGAAGGCTGAGGCAGGTGGATCACCTGAGGTCAGGAGTTCGAGACCAGCCTGACCAACACAGTGAAACCCTGCCTCTACTAAATACAAAAAATTTGCCAGGTGTGGTGGTGCATGTCTGTAATCCCAGCTACTTGGAAGGCTGAGGCAGGAGAATGGCTTGAACCTGGGAGGAGGAGGTTGCAGTGAGCCGAGACTATGCCACTGCACTCCAGCCTGGGCAACAGAGTGAGACTCTCTCTCAAAAAAAAATTTTTTTTTTTAAAGTTTACAAAGTAAAAAAGTTACAATAAGCTAAAGCTAATTTATTACTAAAGAAAGGAAAATTGTTTTAATAAATCGAGGATAGCCTGTGTACAGTGTTTATAAAGTCTACAGTAGTGTACAGTAACGTCTTAGGCCTTCACATTCACTCACCACTCACTCACTGACTCACCCAGAACAACTTCCAGTCTTGCAAGCCCCACTCATAGTAAGTGCCCTATATAGGTGTGCCATTTTTTATCTTTTATGCTGTATTTTTGCTGTACCTTTTCTATATTTAGATATGTTTAGATACATGAATATGTACCACTGTGTTACAAATGCCTAAAGTATTCAGTATAGTAGCACACTGTATAGGTTTGTAACCTAGGAGCAACATGCTACGCCATGTAGCTTAGGTGTGTAATAGGGTAATACCTTGTAGGTTTGTGTAAGTGTACTCCATGATGTTTACACAATGATAAAATTGCTTAACAACACATATCTCTGAACACACCCCTGTTACTAAGTGATACATGACTGTATTCAAATCTCTTTAAAAGATAATTGACTTTTTAAACAAAAAATAATAATGTACTATATGGCATATAGCATATGTATAAGTGAATGTATGAAAATGGTAGCATAAACACTGGGAAGATAAATGGAATTGTGAAGACCTGAAGACAGGCTGAGGTTAAGTTAAACAGTATAAATCTAACAACAAACACCAAAATAAAAAAAAGAGTTATACATTAAATAACAAGTCAACAAAGTAGAGGAAACTAGTCATAAAATTATCCAATAGAAAAAGAAGAAAAAGAGAACAAAGAAAAGATAGAATAGGTTAAAAAAAAATAGCAAGGTGATAGACCTAAATCTAACTCTACCAATAATCATATTAAATGTAAATGGTCTAAACACCTCTCAATTAAGAGATAGAGATTGGGAGACTAGATGAAAAAAATGAAACTTAACTAATGCTGCCTACAAATAATTCACTTTTAATACAGAGACACAAATAGATTAAGAGGATGGAAACTAATATACTAGAATTAGTCGAAAACAGAGTGATTATATCACTATCAAAGCAGATTTTTCAGCAAAAATTATTACTAGTGATAAAGAATGTCACTTCATAATGTTACAGGGGAAAAGAGGATATAATCATCCCAAATATTTATATACCTAATAACAGTTTCAAAATATAAGACCAAAAATTGACGGAATTGTAAGGAGAAATAGACAAATATTTAATTATATTAAGAAACTTAAATATTTCTTCCAATAATTGATATACCAAGTAGACAGAAAATCAAGACTATACAAGACTTGGACTACAACATCAATCAAGTTGATTTCACATCTTTATTAGAACACTTTACAAAGAGAATTACATTATTTTCAAGTGCACCTGAAGATTAACTAAGACAGATTGTATTCTGGGCCATAAAATAAGTTTTGATAAATTTATAATAATTCAAGTCATACCAAGCATATTCTCTGACCACAAGGGATTAAATTATAAAGGAATAACAGAAAGATATCTGGAAAATGTCCAAATATTTGAAAGTAAATAATGTACCTCAAAGTAAATCATGGATCAAAGAAGAAATTTAAAAAATTTGAAAGTAGTTTGATCTTAATAAATAAAAAAGCACAACATAAAAGAATTTGAGAATGTCACTAGGGCATTAATTACGGGGAAATTTATAGCATTAAATAACTATATTAGTAAAGTAGAAAGGTCTCAAATTCATGACCTTAGCTCTTATCTTCAGAAACTAGAAAAAGGAGAGGCTGGGCATGGTAACTGATGCCTGTAATCCTAGCACTTTGGGACGCTGAGGTGGGCAAATCATGAGGTCAAGAGATTGACACCATCCTGGCCAACATGATGAAACCCTGTCTCTACTAAAAATACAAAAATTAGTTGGGCGTGGTGGTGCATGCCTGTAATCCCAGCTACTCAGGAGGTTGAGGCAGGACAATCACTTGAATTCAGGAGGCAGAGGCTGCAGTGAGCCAAGATCATGCCACTGTACTCCAGCCTGGGTGACAGAGTGAAACTCCATCTCAAAAAAAG